GGCTGACCACATACAGAAGACTGAAACAGGACCCCTACCTATCACCATACACAAAAGTTAACTCTAAATGGATCAAAGATCTAAACGTAAAACTTCAAACTATAAGAACCTTAGAAAACACAGGAGACACCCTTATGGAAATTGGAACTGGCAACCAATTCCTATTCAGAATCCTAAAGGTCAATACCTTAAGAAATAAGATAGACAAGTGGGACCTCATCAAATTAACGAGCTTCTGCAAAGCAAAAGAAACCATCAAGAGAGCAGGGAGACACCCCACAGAATGAGAAAAAAATATTTGTCAACTGTATATCTGACAAAGGCCTAACATCTAAGATCTACAAGGAACTGAAACGTGCTGAAAGGAAAAAAACAAACAGCCCCTTTAAAAAGTGGGCAAAAGACATGAATAGACACTTCTCAAAAGAAGATATACAGGCGGCCATCAGACACATGAAAAAGTGCTCAGCCTCACTCATCATCAGAGAAATGCAAATCAAAACCACACTGAGATACCACCTAACCCCTGTAAGAATGGCCATCATTAATAAAACAAACAACAACAGATGCTGGTGAGGATGTGGAGAAAAGGGAATGCTTCTACACTGCTGGTGGGAATGCAAACTTGTACCTCCTCTCTGGAAAACAGTCTCTAGATTTCTGAAAGAACTAGAAATTGACCTTCCATATGACCCAGCAATCTCCCTATTGGGAATATACCCGGAGGAACTCAAATTATTCTACAAAAAAGATACCTGCACACATATATTTTTTGCAGCTCCATTCACAATAGCAAAAACATGGAACCAACTGTGTTGCCCATTGAAGCTGAACTGCATTAAAAAAATGTGGTACATATACATGATGGAATATTATGCAGCCATAAAGAAGGACAAATATATGGACTCTGTAGCAAATTGGATGGATCTGGAGTCTATCATACTCAGTGATTTATCACAGAAACAAAGAACTGAGTTCCATATGTTCTCACTCATAAGGTGACCTTGAACAATTATGCTATAAGAAAGCGATTGCAGTAGTGGAAAACTGTCAGGGGAGGGGGGGTGGGACTGGCATTTGAGGGAAACTGTTAGGGGAGGGGGGCATACCTCATCAACAAGAGTACCTGCATGATCAATGTTTGTATACCTAACCCTGAATTGTACCCTACATCTTTATAATAAATAAATTTTTTTTTTAAATTGTTTTGAGTGGTGGAAAAAGCATACTGCTAGGTGTACTGCATCAATCAGAGTGCTTTGAAGGTGATTAAGGATTAAATATCCAAGAATAAATACACAATTTTAAAATAATTTCTGGGGTTTTTTGGGTCTCTCCCTCACATAAGCACTGTTCCACTATACTGTTAAAAAGGCTGACACATAATACAACGTTGAGTCACAATATACAGCTTATCCATTTCAGTGTGTCACAGCTTTATAAAGTACTTGAGTTGGCTCCACTTTCAAGGGACAGATGTTAACACACAAGGTTTACTGTACCAAGCTTAGATTACCTGGCAGAACGTCAGTAGAGGAAAACACTGAATATAGGTATTTTAGCTCTTTTTATGTATCTCTCTTCAATTGTAGGCAATCATTTACTCACAGAGTAGTGATATATAGTGTATTATAGCATTATTCAATCTTGTTTTGGTCTTAATTTTCATTTAAAACATGGCTCTCCTTTCTATGTCTTACATACCAAAAAAGTTGGCCATGAGAAGCTCCTTAGGGTTCAAATGGATGTCTATACCATTTCTGAGAAACCAACTTTACATTTGAGCATACATTTGAAATGGGCATAAAAGGCTACTGATATATAAGGACAGTTGAGTCACGATATCTTTTATGGATGAAATAATCAACAGCACCAGGGGCTTTCAGACTCAACACTACTGACATTTTGGGACATAAAATTCTTCTGTGTGGGGCAGTCCAGATCATTGTAGAATGCTTAGCAGCGACTCTGACCTCCACCCACCTGATGCCAGTGCCCTACACCCAACCAGAAGTAACAACCAGAAACTTCTCCAGACATTGCCAGATGTCCCCCAGGAAAAGAAAATCATCTCCCTATCCTAAAGGTGAGAATCACTAAGCCAATACCAAATATAAATGACAAAGGATAAAATCAAACCAACTCCCCAAAATACTGTAGAATACAAATCAAATCTGTATAGAACTTTAATTTTTATAATTTCATATAACAAAATCCAGTAGGATGATACAATTGAGCATCTAGCTACATTCATTTGGGAATGCAGAGACATATAAAGAGGACTTTAAAAATACTTCACAAAAGTACACACACACCTGTAATATGCTGACTTTGCCAAAAGTAAGTTTTGGTGTAAGATAAATCAAACATACAAATGTAGGTGACTCCTTTCTACTGCTTCCAACAAAAGGGGTAGGAAAACCTGGGCTTCTGTAAATGAAGTCAAGATTCAAATTTCTCTTAAAATAGCTGGCAAGATAGAAAGTATAATTATGTAGTTTATATACACAATAGTTTGAAGATGTTTTCATTTGTCTCATGTGATAACTCTAGTGCAGTGAAAAACAAGGGCTTGTTTGGCTCAGGAAACAAAGGCACAATTGAACTTGCTATTCCATGAGTAAAAGAGAATGTATTCTAGATATAAAAAATGACAGAGTAATTCATCATCTGAAGGACATTTCCTGTTTTACTAACAGACCAAGTATCACATCAAACTGCATTAAAAAAGAAATGGTGGGGGGCAGGGAGAGCCTGTTCCACTAGTAAATAATAATCTGTTCATAAAACAAGACAAACTCAAATTATCAAAACGTCATTCTGGTCTTTATTTTGGGACACATAGCATGTTTTAATAAGTCAGTTTTTCATGTGCAACCTTTTGTAACATCAAAAGAAATACAACATATTTTTCATAAATTCCTCATCACTGTAAGTTCACTTTCAAATGAATGTTAAGTAGCAGGGTACAACAATGTGTTTCCACATACTGACTAGTGCAACACTGACTGTTATAATTACGGTATCCAGGAAGGCTGAAACTTCAGATTTACGTGAGACAAATAAATTTACTTCCATTTGTTAAGAAAAAAAAATTTAACTTGCAAATCACATATTTTACATGCAAAGGCAAACTAACTTTAAATCTTACTTCCACATTAAATAAATGGCAATTTAAGAATTAAATGTCAATTTTGAAAAAAATTAAGCAAAAATATAAGAAAAATAATCGTATGCCTTTAAAAACTGAATAAATAAAACCATGTTACACCTTCTCACTTAATTATGAATGTTGGCACTGTTTATTTCATATTTATATTGAGTTCATATGCATAAAAATCCCAGTTAAGACTGAATAGTCTGGATTAACCCCCATTTTTCTCCAACAAAAGAACCACCAACTTCTAGATTTTAAAAATTGTACTCTTGCATTTGTGTTTTAGTACAAACAAAACACAAATATATTTATTTTATATCAGTGCAATCAGTTAATAGGCATGTTAAGATACTTTTTAAAAAGTAAGTTTTGTGAATGTTGTCATTTAAAAAATCCTGTACAGAATCACAATACTGACAGAATCTATCTAGCACACTCACAAATGCCTCTTTGTTTTGATTTCACAGTCCTTTTCTCACAAAAACTTACTCTAAAGAGTTCAAAGAGTTAATAATACACACCATGTGGATATTTGGGGGTTAAAAAAACCCATGGCTCTGGGTAACAACAATTACAGTTAACAACATCCACCCACAAAGAGACTGTGTTCCTAAAATTTTCAGACTTGGTTTGCTATAAATAAAACATTCTGGAGTAAAGCCTTTTGCACACTGACAATACTTATCAGACATCAGCGAGGCCACAGTGAAGGGTAGTGACATATCAAAAAGACAAGGTAGCAGCTGGTTTTGGGATGGCACACCTCATACATTCTGCTCAGAAAACACGAAGGCATTTACAGAGGACTAAATTATGCACTGAAAAATGTGGAGGGTTTCTCTGCGCTATCATCAACAGTGATATCGGTCCCTAGTCTTTAAATAGCAAAAAGTATCTTCATAAACACAACTAAAGACAAATGCTCTACCTAGAAGAATGTATACAGCAAGGATCAAAAAAGTACTAGGAGTGGGTTGGCAATTTTTTCCTGGCATTAGCTAGCCTGAGCATTTTTGGCATGTTGGATATTTTACCACTTCATGTCAACTGTGACTACACGTGAAGTAAGCCATTTGAAAGATAAACAAAGAGTGAATGCACCCCTGGTCTTTAATGGCAGGAAATGTCTAGAAAAACACATAGCAGGTGCTCAAAATGTGCTGGTAACTAATAGACTATCTTACTCAAGAAACCTGTTGATTATATGAAACACTTACTAAGTGAGCCCAATAAATGTTTAAGAATGTGACTAAGATCTCTAATAAATGTATATGAACATGACTTAAAATAGTTCATATAGTTGTTGTACTTCCCTAAAGAAAACTTGTAAACATCTGGTGAGTGTCTAATTAATGGTATAACATTAAAAACTGGCCAAAAAAATGCCCAGAAAGTGTTTGGCCCTTCAGCACCCAAAGCTCTTAAAATATAATGTTAAAACATTTCTGCTAGAGGAATTTCAGTAGTCTGAAAAATTTCATACCTGAGTGGCTTAAATGTTTTCTCCTAAATTTTAAGTAAGTGCACGGAGTTTCTACACTCAGGAATTGCATAAGTTTTCATCTTTCCTCAAAAGAAAACATTGAATGATATAGAGGTAGCATAACTTACTAAATTAACTTCCAAAAACAAAAACCCAAAAAAGCAACGTTTTCAATAGTCTTAATAGAACTATTACAAATTGCTAAAATCTTAGAATCCAGGCTTGCTTCTACCTGGTTTTAGACATCTCATTATTCTCACCCCCCTTTTCACTGTGAGAACACTGATGAGTCCAGGCACCCCTTGGCCCAGTGGCATCTACTGCAACATCAATGATAGAATCTGGAGTCATCCATCTCAGGAAAACGAGGAAAACAAAATCGAAAACAGCCAACAAAGCAAAAATGTAGCCCGTTACTGGGCCGCAGTGAGAGATGAGTCTGTCCAGTCGTTTGTCCATTGGCAACACTGCTTCCATAGACACCCAGTCGTATACCTGGAGGGGGAGAAGCTGAGCATGAGCATTCTGACCCATCACCTGTCCCATGATAAATGACCCACTCCTGCAGGAACGTTTTATAAACACACACAAACAGAAGTTGCTGTTTTGTTGTTGTCATGATAATGATGTCCCTAATGAACTTCACAGTAATAACTGCCATTTGATTCAACACTGATTGAGTACTTACTCTAGGATGGACACCATGTGACATAAAGAATAAGTCACAGTTCCTCTCCCCTAGGGGATCACCACTGATTTTAGCTGACTACTAGAATTCCAAAGTCTGACCAGTTTTTTGGGTCACCACTATAGGGGCAATATTTAATTCAGCAGTGAATTCAGCAGTGCTAAAACAGGACTGGCCTTTGAAGAGTGCTGGACTCAGCTGAGATAGCTCTCACCAACATCAGGCAGACATCAACCATAAGCAGAGAGCTACCATCTAGTGTGCTTCTGGGTACACAGAGGCTCTTCTTTCAACAGCCACATGAGGCTGTCCATGTGCATGGATGGTGAAGATATACAGAAACATTTCATGGATTTCAAATAAAAGAAGAAAATGAGATGGGGAAATTTTAGAAATGGCATAGGTGAAGCATTGGAAAATGAAATAAAGTTTATGGCTGAGAAGTGGTGGTAGTGGTTTGCTTTTTAAAATACTGTTAAGTACTAAACTCTAAAATATCAAAAAACAAATATTTTTAAACATTCTTATTGAGAACATACCAATGGGTTATCATTCACGATTTTTAATTGCATTTGAGCATTACTTAAACTCAGTCTCACATAGCAGACTTGTAATCCATCTCCTTTTGAACTAAAAAATGTTTTAACATGCAGTGCAAGCCATACGGGTCAAAGGTCTTTGAAAGGTACAGCATGTGTTCATCCAGCACTTTCACCCCAAAGATATTCTGAATACAAACATTTCTATCAGAATTATGTTGAGAATTATGCTGAGACTGGTGAATTGTAATTGAAAAAGTATGTTTGTAGCATGAACTCCAATTTAATTTCATGATCAATTTTCTAAAGAGTACAGTTAAACTACAGAGGAGTTGAAATAAATCAAAATGTCCTAGAGTTAGAAGAGCAACCATACTGACCTGTTTGTTCAGCTTTATTTCTAATCAATTAATTTACTTATGATCTTAAGTGATAACAATTTACTACTATGAAGACAATGCTATGGATGACAATCCATTTGAGACAAGGTTTTACTTTTTTCTCAATGTATACTATAAACCACTAGAGATTATAAAATAAATAATAATATACACATGTCTTACTATTACTTTAAATAAACTAAAAGAAAATATAGGTTAAAAAAAAGTCCTAATTAATTCCTTTAACGTATGCTGACAAACTGTTACCATAGTTCTTTCTCTCTGAATTTATTACCTATAATGGCTCAGACTTCTGAGGTTTATATGAGGTCAATCAAGAAGATCAAGTCACAATTTGAAGAGCTATGGTTCTCAATTAAGAGTGGTATCACCAAAAAAACCCTGTCTAACCAAATATCCCTTCCAACCATACCCCAAATTCCCTCTCTGCTCCTAAAGGGTCATATTAGAATTTAGGGAGTAATTGAGGGAGACAGAGGGACATGAAGATGAAGTATACAGAAGCTACCCAGAGGACTATAACATACATACTCCCAACAGGTAATCAGAACTAGGCTCCAACTTCCAAAGAAACAGGTACCTATTTTACATGAGTTGAGATATTACAATACTTCAAGGAGGTCAGAATGTCACAGAAATACTTCAGTCAAAAATGTCTGACTGCTGAGTGTGGTGGCATATGCTTGTAGTCCCAGTTTCTCAGGAGACTGAGGCAGGAGGATCACCTCAGCCTAGGTCATGGCTGTGGTGAGCCATGATCAATCATGCCACTGTACTCCAGCCTAGGCAACAGAGTGAGATTCTGACTCTAAATAAATAAATAAATAAATAAATAAAACTTAAGTGACATTTTTAAATGTTTGACTGTTTCAAATATCTTAGATTTCAATGAAAAATTTATTATATATGACAATTTTTAGAGATAAGAATTTTTTTAACTTACATCAAATCTGGGGTCATCTTATACACAGGAATTTGTAATCCAAACCATATAAGAATGCCTTACAATAAAGTACTATTCTCCCCTCAACTCCAGCCATCTCTCTACTCCAGGCTAAAAACCCTTGCTCCACTAAATACCCTGATAGTATAAAGCATTAGTGTAAATCACTACCTTCTCCATGCTTCACCTGGCTGTCTTTCTAGTTTACAATGTCTACACACTAAGAAGACAAGTTGTTTGTGTTCAGCTTGTTACTTGGTAATAAGGGGCAAGAGGCAGAGAAGGTCATGAGGAGGACATAAAAGACAAAACTGAGTAGAATAAATGAAGTCCCTCACTTGAAATCAGGAAGCATTTCCCACAACTGTACTCTCCCACCTAAGGGTGTTCACCTATTTCCTGTACCTGTCCTTTTGGAAATTTTCCATTATTACTTTTTATTTGTGATCATTTTTCCAGCTTTTGTCATCCACTTTGAATTCTAACTTATTATTTTCTCAATCAGTCCAAGAATGCAAAAATCCTTTTCCTGCAGAAATTCACATTAGTTAGCAAGAGTGCCACAACAGGTTTAGGAGGTAGCCTGAATTAAACATTCACAAATTGCAAAGTTGCCACAATCGGCAAAACCATATATTTCCTAATAGACCTGTATGTTTTAAAATTATAAATAGCAACAAGAAAATATCTAAGAGTAGATTTTAATACTAGCTTTGTTTCTAATCACCGTGACTTCTAGAAAATAATTTTGTAACTTTTTTATGCCCAGTTTAATGAGGGGGTTAGACTGTATTACTACTATTTTCAAATGTCAAATGCAATAACTTGACTAGACATTTAGCTCAACATGTGTACCAAGAGTAACATATAGTCTGGTTCATTTCATTTTGAAGAGATCTCATAAACTTAAGCAATAGAACAGATATGGCAAAACTGTATATAAGAAAAAGCAAACGTGTACATGAAACATCAAGTAAGAGTTCAGATACAATCTTTTCTCGGATGAACATACTTTTTCAGTTCTCTCCGCAACATTCCTCCAGGTGTAGAAAGTCTTTACTATGTTATGGATATTTTCTGGAGTCAGCAATGTCCCCGAATTCAGTTGGAAAATAGCTTTTTCCAACCCTTCACACAAAGATTTTACTGAAGGCTCACATAAAATAATAAGATTTTCTGGAAGCACCTCAGGAATTCCACCAACCCTGGTACTTACAACCTTAAAAAGAAAGAAAGAACACATGCTCCACCATAATCATACCTCAGAAAGATAAAACCAAGTTAAAAAATTGTATGGGATGTATCACATTATTTTTCAAAATATAAATACAGAAACCCCAACAATGTATACCCTCAAGATTTTTTACCTGTAAGCCACAACTGGCTGCTTCCACGATCGCCATGCAGAATGCTTCGGTAAGGGAGGTATTAAGAAAAATATGTCCTTGAACTAAGACATTTCTAACATCCTTGTGTTCTAAAGCTCCCAAAAGACGCACCCTGATTTTTTTAAATGAGGAGAAGAAAGAAGGGAGTGAAAAATCATGCAAAGAAATGTAATATATAAGCCAAGTCTGTTATTTACATTACACTTAGATTCTTACTGGTGCTACTGCATTCCACCTCAAAAGATTACTATCACCAAAAATTGATCTACTAGAAACAGCCTTATAAAGCTGTTGGGTTAAAACTCATATAGCTAACATATTTCCAGCTTGTTACACGTAACATATTTCATCTTCTCCAAAATAAGTTTGTAATTAAAGTATTAATACACTTTGATCATTAAATGTTGAAGTGTCACATCTAAACAGGAAAATGGGCCTTTTAAAATTGATGCTTTTTGTTGGGTGTGGTAGCTCACACCTGAAATCACAGCACTTTGGGAGGCAGAAGCAAGAGGACTGCCTGAGCCCATGGGTTCGAGTCCAGCCCGGGCAACATGGTGAGACCTCATCTCTACAATCAATCAAAAAATTAGTCTGGCATGGTAGCACATGCCTGTAGTTGCAGTTATTTGGAAGGCTGAGGCAGAAGGATCACCTGAACTCAGCAGGTCAAGGCTGTGGTGGCCATGACCGTGACTGTGCCACTACACTCCAGACTGGGCAACAGTGAGACTCTGACTCAAAAAAATAATAATAAAATTGATGCTTTTCACGTACACACCTCAAGTGTTGCCTAAGTTACTGGGGAAGAAACCTGTCTGAATCTGTACTTGCAGAGCAATTTATATGACCTGAGCCATGCTATTAAAATCACAACACAGTATAGCTTAGAAACCTGCAAATATTTCCAGTCAAAGCAGTTGTCTTTTTGTGCCATCTATGGTGCCTCCAACAGCTGCTCCCTAAAGTCAAATAATATTGGGCTAATGCAAAAAATAAAATTGTGAATTCTTCAGCTAAGTTTTCTATTTTATATAACATTTTACAAAACAAGTCTTGCATTACATTTTTATATCAATTACATGTAGGAGAAGCAGCACACCTAAGGCAGGCATGTAGTCAAAACTAAGTATAGATCATTGACATTTTCTCCCTCAATACGATATGGAATCCACCAATACCTGTCATGTAGCTGGTATCTTTCTCGAACTTCTTCCAAAATGATTCTCTTTGGTCCCTCTCCTCCAATTATGAAATTTAAATTTTGATATTTCTGACATAGTTCAGGTATTATACCACTAAGCAAATCGGTTCCTGAAAATATAAAGTTAAATGTTAAAGATATTAATATCTAAACTTCAAAAGAATTCACCAGAACAATTGAGAGTCCACTCCCTCTGAAAACTGCTAGCTATGTACTCCTTAAAGTAAAGAAACTAACACTATTTTTTTTTTTTGAGTTGGAGTCTCACTCGTCACCCAGACTGGAGTGCAGTGGCCGCTTCTGGCCACTGCAGCCTCGACCTGCTGGGCTCCAGCGATCCTTCTGCCTCAGCCTTCCAAGTAGCTGGAACTACAGGCACGCGCTACCAGGCCCGGCTAATTTTTGATTTGTTGTAGAGATGAGGTCTCGCCTGCCCAGGCAGGTCTCGAACCCGCGGACTCAGGCAATCCACTCACCTCGGCCTCCCAAAACACTGGGATTACAGGCTGAGCCACCAAGCCCAGCCAAAACTAACACTCTTAAACATTTCCCAGGAGAGTAAAATCGTTCATAAACTGCCCATAGTCCCCCAAGTTACAATGCTTGAGGACATAGTTCTTGACATGCATTGTTAACTTGCACTCACCCAAAATATGACTATTCTGTTTCATCTCAACAGATTACTCTTTACTTTATTCACTTGTGTCTACACACTACTTTTAAAAAGGTATGTAAAGTGGCTAAGGTATGAGTTAGTTTTCTCCAGAAAAGGCCACTGACTAGAGATCTGGGTCTTGTCCCAGCTTTTCTTTTTTACAAGCAAGCCTCTAATCACAGGAAATTTTCCTGATCTATAAGATGAAGAGACCTATGTACCTGAAGTCTAAGGTCTCTTTCAGCTATAAAATTCTATCAGTCTATGACTCTACTTCCTGCCCTAGGAAATGCTAAGCAACAAAATCTAACTGCAGCCTCCACTTTGTTCAAATCTAACTGCAGCCTCCACTTTGTTCAAAATGCAGTTTATAGAGAATTTTCTGGTGAACACTGCAGTACTAGCAAAATTTAAAACAACACTCCATCCAAACCAGCTACAGCCCACTTTTCTGAAACGGGCACAAATGAAGGTGGCAGGACCTCGAATGTCAGAGCATTATAGTCCATAAAACAAAAGGATGCATCTCGCTTCCTTTAAAAAAATAAAGATTTTCTTATAATATATAAATACAACCCTGGGTAACATAAAGCAATAAAGTAAATTATGCCCTACTAGTCTAAGAAAGTTAGTGGCTAACCAAAGTGACAGCAATGTTGACACTGGGAATTTAGTTCATTAACAACTACAAATCGTACACATTCTAAAGTTAAACAATCCACGTAGAGCTAAGTCTATTACTTTAAAAAATGCATACACACGTAAGAACTGCATTTCTTACATCAATCTTCCCACAAACATATCAATTATAAAATAGGTGGGAGAAATGATACACACATATAGGGTTATTTTTATTAAATAAAACAAAGCAGGATTCATTAAGTAAACTCTGCTGGCATTTTCAAAATATAATTGCATATATCAATAAATTCACATGCAGCTTTTCTGAATTATGAAGGCTTCTCATTAAAATCTTAGCTATCTTTGTTTCAAGTCTACTACTAAATCCATCAATTGAATTTCTAGATAAACCAGAAGACAGCTCAATGACTTTTAACATTTTGCCTCTTACAATTCCTTTCTTTCATTTTCTTTTTCCCTACTCCCGTTTTTTCCTTTCTTATACACAGTTAAGAGCCCATTCTTTAAACAACAAAAAAGAGAGCAATAATCGTATTTGTTGATAATAGCTAACTTTAACTGAGTGCTTACTATGAAATAGACAGGCAATAATATGCTTTAAATGAATTATGTCATCCAATCCTGACAACCACCTTATAAGAAACAAAAATGATTAATATCATCAATGATTTAGAATATTCTTCTAAGAATAAAGAGTTTTTCTTCCCACTATAAGAATTATTCTGGAGTCAATAAGAAGAGTCTAACACAATGGAACGTATAGACTTTTATTCACACGAAACGGACAATGAAAATTCCTAATTCAAACTGCTTTTAAAGCTCAGTCTAACAATATTTTAAAGAACCTTCTGATCTATACCTAAGATAATAATTGCCAGGTGAAGGTGGAAGAAGAGGATACTTTAACTAAAGAAGAGCTAAACTCACGTTTGTCATCTGTTACTTACTGTGTAATTTGGGTGAGTTACTTACCCTCTCTGAGACTCAGTTTCTTTGTGTTACATGCAGATAACATCTACCCTACAGTTGTTGGGAGGGTCAAATGAGGTACTGTACCATGCACAAGCTTTATCAACTGCAGAATACAAATGTTAAGTTGTCATTACCACTATAGTAGGAAGTGGGACGTGCCTGCACACGTGCAGAGCACTGGCAAACCCTGACTGAGAGCAAAACAGGCCCAGGAGAAGGTGGCTAAGGACAAAGCCAGCCAAAATACCTGGGGGCAAGGTAAATTTTAATTTATCCTCTTTCACTTAACACAATCCAGTGGGCCTTTGATATATGGTCCAATGAACACCTCCTGAGGAAATTAATTTGTTAATAAAGAATGGACCGTTAATACAATTACTCACTTTGGGGTTACAGATGTGGTTGCTCCTTCTCAGAATGTTAACTTTTTGCAGGGTGCCTAGCATACAGAGAGGGTTCAATATCTATTGAGTTACTGAACTGAGACTAGCAAAGGTTGTACTTTCACTCTGTTGATGGTTAGCTCAGCTGGTGAAAATACCATCAGTGACAGGTTGAATCTTTGTATGAGTAGTTAATTTTGCTAATCCTCAATCACACATGTACCACATCACACTCTTAGCTAGCTATCTCACAAAGGCATGCTATTTGATTAAAAAATAAATTAGGCACATTTTCTAAGTTAAAACAAACATATCACCAATGTCCCAAGAGAGACTCAGAATACTAAATGCAGGTTCATTCACATCTTCTTGATTAAAGAATGAAAGCATGTCATTGCCTTCACCCTAGAAAACGCAGTTGAGTCAAAGTTTTCTCACCAGCCTCCACTTAAGTGGATCACTGGGTCAGTCAAGCCTCTTCGTTCCAAATGTAAACTATACTGACCAAGGTCACAGCTAGATTTTTGGCTACTCTCTGTGTAGCACCACTGAGCTTCATGCTTACTAAGAATCAGCTGTGTTTGTTCACAAATCTGTTTGATGCCAGTTGAACTTGCTGCTGTACTGGATAATTTAATTATATATCGCATAAAGTGACTAAGTTTCTACAAAACTAAGCTGAACAGTCTGAAAAAATCCAATAAAAGAAAGCCACAGAAAAAGGTTCTTGTCAGATGAGGGGTGTTGTAAACCACTGTATAAAAATGAAAACAAATTAAAACTCCTAAAGCCCACTGCTTCACATACCTTTGGGCTCTCACATCACTTCAGACAAAACCAAGGATAAGTGGTAGATTACACTTTGTGAGGGCAATTGTGTAAGATGATGCTGCTGAAATCAGTGGCCCAGCACTCAAAGCCTGCAGCCTTACCTCAAACTTCTGGCAACTCAGTGTGTACTAAATTTTGAGTTAAATTCAAATATTTAAGGGGGTATTTTTTTTTAATAATTCCCTACTTTTAGTGGCATTTTTTTATTCCTGGACAGGTTTTCAAATAGCATCCAGAAGACTATGTTTTTTATAACCAAGATGTTTCAGACTTGTAGTAAATAAGCCTCCACAAATTCAACTGGCATGTCCATGAGTGCTAAAGAGGCACTAAAAATAGCAGAAACTTATCAAATACAAACAGCTATCGGTTTCTAGGAACTATCACTGAACCCTCACATGGTTCCTATTGTTGCCAAAATCACACAAATGAAAAAACTGAAACTTAGCAATGTTAAGTAACTTGTCCTTGATCATATAACAGGATAGTGCCACGATCTGACTCCAAGCCATCTTCTAATCCCCCTTTCTTCATCACTTACCTGCCAATACATTATTAATGTCTTATATATGACTAAATAAAACAAGCAAACTATAAAATAGTAATGTGAAGAATAAGCCCATTGATTTTCAGTACATGTACATATATATCAAAAACACAGGACATCTATAAATCAAAATATTAATTAGGGTCATCTCTGAATAAAACTGTTATAGCTGATTTTGGTTTTCATCTTTGTACTATTCTTAGTTATCAAAATGCATATCTGCAATGAAAAGACATTACTTTTGCAATCAGAAAGAAGAGGTCACATGGTGGGCTCTGCCCTTTACTTCTTACCACATGTGCAGGGTTGTTTTAACTTATTAAAAAACCTGATCAACTGAACAGCATCCAGTTATTGTTTTTATTTAGTAACCATTAAAACATGAAATATTAGAGGGCAGCATTCACCGCCAACCTAAAAATTTCTCTTCTTGGATGTATAAACCAATATTAGAACCTTCTTTGCTATATATTTAATGTACAAATAGTTACAAAACCATAAAACAAAATGAAAAGCCAAACAATCATTATATACAAGTATTCAACAGCTTTCTACAAGAAATAAAAAGTCCGCAATGTAATTATAGCTATCATTTCATTACCTTTTCTGTAAACAAGTCTGCTGACAACAACAATAGTTATTACACTATCATGCCTTCTAAATGGGTCTGGAGTGAAGTCAGTAGGATCTACAGCATTAGGAATGACGGACACTATTTCAGGATTCAGTGCTGCTCTTAGTACAGTATTTTCCTTACTAGTATAAGAGACACAAATAATGTGGTTTGTGTCACAAAGAGACACAGTTAGAAGCTTGTTTGTAAGCACCGAGCTGACGTCAGCAAATCCAAAAAGGGAATGATCCGTGAAGACTGTCTGAATCCCCATTGTCTTGGCGTGGAAGAGAGCATCATGGGCCATGGCAGAAAAAGAACTATGTGAATGGATTATCGTGACTCTCTCCCGAACAAATATGTACCTGAGCAATGGCAGACTGTGAAAGAGAGTTGTGGCTGTAGATTGGTTGTACATGACTTTCAGAGGCAAGTAATAGACTTTGAGGCCTTTAGTGAGGTAACGGATACCTTTTCGATTTCCATAAGCATGGGTGACAATTATGACCTTATGCCCTCTTTCAATCAGGCATTGAGAGAGCTGGTAAATGTGGCTTTCCACACCTCCCATATTTGGGTAGAAAAAGTCAGATACCATGCATATATTATGAGTATGGGTTCTACATGTGGAAAGACTTCCAGGGCTAACCCGAGAAAGTGTAGCTAAGGTAGGCTGGCCATGCCCACCTCCTCTTCTACAGGCCATGCTGAAAATGGTTTAGGCATCAGTTCTTAGAGCAACCAAGTTAAGACATGTGTCCTCTATTATCTGAAAAAGAAAGTAAAACAGGATCTCGGGTCAAAGACAAAAACACATTCCACATTCCAAATCCAGATATAAATACTATGTTAATATTAATGTAAATTTGTTAGCTTTTCCCTAGAAATAAAAACAAAGCAAATAACGAATTTATTCATTTGACAGCATTTACTTGCTTAGCATTTACTCTGCGCCATACAACAAAGCTAGATTCTGCAATGTCATTTTGCTCTAAAAATACTGCTAAAAACAATTTTAAGTAAGTTTGTTATGCCACAGTATATAATGATCTGCATGCTAACAAACCAGTTCTTTCCAATAATTAAATACATATACACACATATGCATATATGTATATATATTTCCTCTCTACTTTTTTATATCATCATTCCAGCTTCACTTATTAAATGGTCACTATACATCAGCCACTACATGCTAACAGTTTCTGTATCTTATTGCAGCTTCATCAAAATCCTGAGGTATCCACTCCATAAATATAAATGGAAGGTCTAAATGTAAAAAGGTTAAGGAATTTGTACATGATCACTTAGCTACTTAGAAGTAGCACAATGTGGCAGTGTTTCATTGGTGGTCATGTCTCCTGGTATTTATGCCCTTGTATAGTCCCTCCCCTTGATTTGGACCCGATTTAACCTGCAAGACATAGAGGAAGTGATGTGTACATTTTTGGCCTCAGCCTGAAAAAGGTGCAGTGGTTTCCACTTGGATATCCTAAGCCAGCATATAAGAAATACAACTACTGTGCTAGAGGAATAAGGGAAGAGCGAATATGCAGAGGGAAAAGCGCTAAGACTACATGAAGAGAGCCAGAGGCCCAGCTATCCCCATGATCTTAGCTGGGCCCAGTCTCTAGCCAACTTGGCAACTAAATGCAGCTTTCCTAGTAACCACTGGCAAGAGCAGCAGAATCACCCAGTTGAGCCTAGCTGATTGCAGAATCATGAAAAATAACAATATAGCTGTTGATTCACACCATGAAGTTTTGGGGTAGCTTATTATAAAATAACGATTAACTAATAATACAAGCTAGGAGTCAAACCTAGTTACATAGGTCTGCTGCCTGTTTTTGCAAATAAAGTTTTATAGGAACACAGGCTTGCTCATTCATTTATGGGAGTGGCTACTTTTGTTCTACAACTGCAGAGTACCTGCAACAGAAACCACATGCCCCAAAGAGTTGAAAATATTTTGGCTCTTTACATAAAGTTTGGCAATTCTGGCTGGGCTCGGTGGCTCAGCCTGTAATCCCAGCACTTTGGGAGGCCGAGGCGAGTGGATTGCCTGAGCCCCGGGGTTTGAGACCAGCCCAGGCAACTTGGTGAGACTTCGTCTCTATAATAAAATAAAAAAGCCGGGCTCAGTGGCTCAGCCTGTAATCCTGCACCTTGGGAGGCTGAGGTGAGTGGATTGCCTGAGCCCGCAGGTTCGAGACCCACCTGGACAACTTGGTGAGACCTCATCTCTACAATAAATCAAAAAATTAGCTGGGCTTGGTAGCGCGCACCTGTAGTTCCGACTACTTGAAAGGCTGAGGCGGAAGGATCGCCAGAGCCCAGCAGGTTGAGGCTGCGGTGGCCGGGAGCGGCCACTGAACTCCAGTCTGGGCAACAGAGTGAGACTCCAACTTAAATAATAATAATAATAATAATAATAATAATAATAATAATAATAATAAATAAAATAAAAAATAGCCGGACATGGTAGCATGCGCCTGTAGTTCCGGCTACTCAGAAGGCTGAGGTGGAAGGATCACTGGAGCCCAGAAGGTTGACGCTGGGGTGGCTGTGAGCGTGTGTGCCACTGCACTCCAGCCTGGGTGAAGGAATGAGACTCCAACTCAAACAACAACAACAAAAAAAAACATACAGTTTGCCAACTCCTGCTGTAGAGCTTAGCCACCGATTCAACTAACCTCATAAAGTTCTGCTAGTATTAGCTTTGTGGTTTACACTAAAATATACCTAGAGCTAGAACTCTTTTTGAGACCACCTTTTTCAAGGCACCCTGAGTACATGCTGCAGACAATTTGCATTTTCTCCTTCTGTATTCAAAGACGGCAATAATCTAACGACTCCTTTCACTTTTTTCTTAACCTATCTTTCAGTTATGTAGACCTTTACTCCATGAGTGTCCCTCCCTTCAGTGTGGAGTCTGAAGATAAAGGCTGAACTAGAGATAGGCTGTATTTGGGGTCATTTTGACATCTAATGTAAAAAATGTTTGTCTCAGAGGTTCCCTAAAGCCTGATCCACATGAAATATCCATTCAATACTTAGTACTATTATAGATTCTTAGACTTAGAAGGATAAAAAGTCTTGGAGATCTAGTGAAAATATTCCTCAACTTTACAATTGAGATCTCCAAGATGCCAGAAACTAAACTATACAATGGAAAGTCAGCCAGACGCTGAGTTTCAAATTTCACCTGCAAACTCAGAAAATGGAAATTAACTATGTGCAAAGTCTTAACTGTTACTTCTCTAACAAATTGGTCTGTTTTAAATATATTCTCAGAAAGACTCTATAAGTGTTTGCTGAACTGAATTTACAAATTAAGATTCATATTACCAAATATTAAAATTCTCAAGTTTGTACTTTGGGTGGCTGAACTAACATTGTCTTATTGTGGTGTCATCTAAACCCGAACTTCCAGTTCTATTCAGTTTTAAAAGATAAATGATGATGAAAACAGTGAGTAATGAACTAAATGAAATCACTTAAAATATTGTCATTAGCCTGTAATGTTCCGTGAGAAGTCAGCTCACTTCTACCAGATTATTACTCCTAATATCTCTGTGGTGTAAAACCTCAATATACTTCACAATCGTGGAATCTTAGATTTTAAAGTTGAAGAGAGGCTTAGGAGAGCTAGTGAATACTTTTTTCACTTTACAGAGGCCAGACAAGTTGAGCGATTTGTCCAAGGTTCTCACTCAGCTACTTAAAGTGGCAAAAGAGCCATGACCATTACATTCTCGACCACGTTCAACTAGCCCTGGGCAGCTATTAGCAGCAGAAAGATTCCTCAAGAATCTCAGGGCGACCCGGCAGGGGTTGTGGGGTCAAGAGGATGGTACTTCCACCGATTTCCTGGCACTGCCTGAGTTTCACTCCCTGAGAGGTTACTGGCGAACGCTAAGGCCAAGAAGGGGATGCTCCCGCTCAGTAAGCGACCCCGCTGGGGTCAGGCAGGTTCCGGGCACCGGAGAAGGAAACGCCCTGAGGGCGGGCGCGGGTTTAAGACCCGGGTCCGGGAGTCCGCGGTCCCTCGTCCTATCCGGCTTCAGCGGAGGAACCGGCTCCAGCACGGCCGCCCTCAACACACCCTCACCCCTGTCTACTCCGGAGACACCCCGATCCGACTTCCGGGCCTCAAGCTGGGTCGGCTTCATTCGATTCACCGCCCGCCACGCTCCCACGGGGACAGAACAGCCCGACCCGGAAGCAGCCGACAGTGCCGAACAGAGGAAGGCCAGAAGCTCACTTACCAGCGAGTCCCATGGCCGTCTGTGTCCGGACCTCCCGCGGCTGCAGCCGGAGTCCCGCCCCGCTGCCCCGAAGCACCAATCCAGAGTGTCCGCGCCCAAGCGCTGCGTTTCCAAGTTAGCCAATCAAAAGAAGGCGCTAGGGTCACGTCCGAGAGCGTCGTATCCACCCTCCGCGCGTGATGTAACGTCAGCGCGCGCCTGCGCCTGTCTCCAGGATGCTGCGGATTGGAGCCTGGGTTCATACCGTGGTTGCCTGGTTACGGCTTCTCTTTTCTAGAAGTCAGGTCTCTCCCGGCTTGCTTCCGATTGGAGAAACTTTTGGGTGAGAAGGCTACCATAAATCGGGGTCCTTGTGGTGTTTTGTTTGTGATCCTCTACCAGGAGCCACAGTAGACATGTGCCAACTATAATCACTCTAGTACGGTTGGCAGATGTAGCAAATAAAAATACACAAATAAGTCAAAGCAAATGGAAATATGAACCTTGAATTTCAGATAAACAAAAAATAATGTTTAATATAAGTATGCCGCAAATATTGGGGAGTTCACTAGAAACTTATTCGTTGTTTGTCTGAAATTCAAACTTAACTGGGCAACTTGTGTTTTATCTAACAACGCTACACTCTGCAGGAGAAAATCTGAGGTCTGATCTGAAATATCAACACCTACTGAGACTGGCTCAACTAGCTATGCTGGTGCTTGGCCGGGAAGCTAAAGAACCAGTGAGCGTGGTGTGATGGTCATCCGTCTCTGACAGTTGGTCCTTGGAATTCCCCCAACCCTGCCATAACTGCACTTTTGAGAATAAATTCCTTTCTGAACACCATCACCACAACCATTAGTACCACCCCTTTTAATAAAAGCCCGGAGTAAGCCTATTCATTTCTGAAGATTTCGGCTCCTTTCTGATGTTTCCCCCAAGCTTCCAGAGAAAATGAAATACTCCCACTTTTGTATTTTGATAGTACAAATTATTTGCCTGACTGTGGCCCCCCTTCCTCCTCACTCTAATCTGTAATAACTTGTGTCTGCTCTGAATCTCACATGAACTTCCTTCTGAAAACTAGCAATTGCATTTGCTCATTAAATGCCTGCCTTCACCACCAGATAGTAAGCCGAGGCAGAGTCTGTTCTTGATAATGGACGTTGAATAAGTTTTAGTTTAACAAATGAATTTCTTTACCCAATGCCAGCACACTCCCTGACACATATTAGGTACCCAATAAAATGTATTGAAACTATTTCGTGGAATGTACCTTATAAAAATCACAATGCAATGACATTATTCAAAAATCATTTTGGTTGTGGGATTTGAAGTATATGAATGAGTTAACTTTAATGAGTAATGCTAAAATAGCAATAGATACTCTTCCCTGTGTTAATAATGATGAAACAACAGAATAATGGTGATGAAGACACCAAGATACAATCAAGTTTAATAAATTGTAGTTGGTTTCATAGATAAAAGCAACAATACCAGATATGTACAGCATTGCTTTGGTCTCCCTTTCTTTTTTGTAATATGTTTTAAAACAAAGAATGTGGGTAGAAATCCTGGATGGTATAAATGAGGCTTATCCCTCATTTCTTAAGCCCATGGGTTGCCCCTGCCATAGTTCTGATCACAATACACACTTGAAATTCTACCATGAATCTTCTAAGACTCTGATGCCAGTATTTCTTCAAATGAGTTGTGGGGTTTTTTCCAAAACAAGAGCAAATATTTTCTATCTTTATCATCAGACATTTACTGAGTGCTCTATAAAAGGCTTTATGGGGAATACAAGGAATATTAAACATAGTTCCTATGTTTTAACAGCTTTTTATCTTTCCTAGCTTTTCCTATTCATGTTACCAATAGTAAAAATAAATCCACTTTTCTTAAGATGTTCTTTGTGTTTCAAATATAGAATAGGTTGACCTTTATAAATAGATATTAATAGAGGCACACTGTTGCTGAGTCTCTGTGGGGGAGGGGGTTGAGGAGCCTGCAGCCTCTTCCAACAAAGTCTGAAAACATTGACTATTCGTGCTCCAGTCTCTGTCCTAGGCACTGGGCATTAAATAGGTAAATAAATCATGATTCTGCCTCTCAAGGATTCACAATATCACATGGGTACATGACTTCATTTATAGCCAGTTAAATCTTAAGCAAAGATCTCCATTTAAGACTATTTCCTAAAAGTCAAAAGAAAGTTGTAGCAACAGGATTAAGATATAAATCTGGGGATATTCTAATTTTACAGTGCTTTGCCTAAATGTGTGTCCTCAAGGCATGCCTTGAGAGAATTTTCTTAGAAACCACTAAAATTAGACTAAAATACTTACATGCACTTTATTCTGATTACACTTAATAAAATATAAGGGCAATTGGTACCAGTTATAGTATTAAATGACCTAAGATGGAGAAGATGTAAAATAAACATGGATATCAAATTCCCTTGAAATTCATCTCTTGCAAACTTATATGTAAATTAGCTCCCTTGGGAAGGCAATAGCCATGTCTTGAGAACCTCTGTGTGCAAGCCACCATGCAGAGAAAATCTGACATGAGCTTTACCCACAAGAAACTAAGATGGAGCTAAGGCACATGCAAACATTTATGATAAAAAGCAGGAAGTGATAAGTACCATAAGAAATGTTTAAAAAAAGCCAGGCTCGGTGGCTCAGCCTGAAATCCCGCGCCTTTGGGAGGCTGAGGTGAGTGGATTGCCTAAGCCCACAGGTTCGAGACCCGCCTGGGCAATTTGGCGAGACCTCATCTCTACAATAAATTAAAAAAAAAAAAAAAATCAGCCGGGCATGGTAGCACATACCTGTAATTCCGGCTACTTGGAAGATTGAGGCGGAAGGATCACCGGAGCCCAGCAGGTCAAGGCTGCAGTGGCCGGGAGTGGCCACTGCACTCCAGCCTGGGCGACAGAGTGAGACTCCAACTCAAAAAAAAGAGAAACATTAAAAAAAACTGGAAATTCAAACAGAAAAAGTATTTCTAGCTACCAAGCACTTAGCTAGAAGAATAAGTAGAGAGTGTCATGAAACTCTTGAAAGCAGGATAATTCCAAGAACAACATGAATGAGGTACAGAAACAGGTGCTGACTGTTCGGTGAATGCTGTTGTGTAATTACACCAGAAAAGAGAAGAGGAAGGGTTACAGACTGAAGTGGCATTTTCAGTGAAGCTTGGCCCAAACTGGTAGAGGATCTTATTAAGGAAAATGGACTTGATGTCGAGTCAGACTTCCAGCCAAGATGACATTTTCAATTAATAATTTGTGACTCCTTACTCCTCGTTCTGCTTCAAATAGAAAAAGAGATATGATGTAAATAATAAAAGTAAATGTTATAGCTGTGATTTAAACAAGAAGAAGATTAACATTTCTACATATCAGAAACAACCAAAATACCAAATGGTGATTAGGACCAAAGCCACATAGGTCCTAGACTCTGTTGGTGACAGCAAGAAGACATGAACCAAGGTTCAGCCCTTATAGAATAATAGAGACTAACAGGATTCCATGCGTGGCTAGAGACAGAAACTAGCTTTGTAAAGGATAGTTACATAGGTGGGCCTTCAAAAAACCACTTTCCAATATTAGCAACCTTGTCTAATCCCCTCCCACATTGGTCCGATGTTTGGCCATGTGACTTGCTTGGCAAATGAGACACCAGTAAATGAAATGCCACAGATGCTTAATAAGTCTTTATGGACTAGGGCATATCCTGTTGGAACCCTTCCTCTTGAAAGCCAGTGACCATGTCGTGAAGAAGTTTAGGCAAAATATTGAATGGTGAAAAGCCATATGGAGAGAGGCCCTTAAGAAAGAGAGGCTATCTTGGGCATTCAGCAATAGATGAGTTCCCAACTTAATAATCACTGAATGACTTCAGCCTATATGACTATGTGGAATAAAAGAACCACCTAGCTGATCCTGGTCAACCTACAGAATCATGAGAAATAATAAATTGTTGTCTCACGACACTGAGTTTTAAGGTGGTTTGTTACACAGCAATACATAACTCAGTCAAGTCTCATTTCTTAACCATCTCCCCTACTTGTGAATAGAGAGTGAAAGAATTTGTGGCCCACAATTTCTGCCTGTCTGGGTATATAACTTTGCTAACAGAACTGAGCCAAGCAACATGATCTACAGTATGCCACTATCACTGCTAGTCTGAGAGATATTAACAAACAAGAGAGAGAGAGAGAGAGAGAGAGAGAGAGAGAGACCCCACTCAAGGTTAGTTTATAAATCAATAGTCTAAAACACTGGAAGAGATATAATACTAAGAAAGACAACACACAAATATAACAATGAAAGAAGAATTTATTCTAGGTGCAATTAAAATAATTTTTAAGATGACAGTTTTTAAAAGAATAAGAATTTGGAAATAAGAACAGGCAGAAATGAAACAAACACCAATGAATATAAAGGAATTAATTAGAAATCTTGAGCATGAAGAAGTTTCTAGCATTTTAAAAAGTCATGTTGATAAACTTTAGGCTAGACAGTGTGATGGGAAATAGTACTGGGGCAGTCACTTCTTTTTGGTGCAGGATGTGGAAATGAAATGTCCAACCACAATCAAAGCCTTGTCTTAGGTAGGTAGAGAAAAGAGAGGTGGAAAGAGTGGCACAGCTGGAGAAGAGACAGTGAGGCTGTTTCAGTAGACCAGAAGTCCATTTGCAATTCACGGTAGGTCTGCAGACCAGCAACAGCAACTGGGAGCTGGTCAGAAATGCAGACTCTCAGGCCTACTGAACTGGCCTCTGAGTGACTAGCATGCACATTATAGCTTAAGAACCGTGACTCTAAACTAGAGGCAATGAGGACCTTATCTATTCTAATGGCAATGGAAAAAATAGAGGCCATGACAATCACAGGAAACTGGAATTTGCTTGAGTAATGCCATCCTCCTTGTTTGACTGTGCTAGTTTGAAGATTATCCTCCAGGAACTTTCTAAGGAAGAGTACATGGGAGGTCAAGGGGGATTTTCTAAGACCTTGCGTGTCTGAAAATATATTGTTCATTCTTTCAATTTTATTGATAGTT